ATACCCCCCCTTATACCCCCCTCAATAACCCCTGAACTGCCCCTCAGCAACTTCGGGTTCTCGTATTTCATGCTTGACTTTCAAGTTTCAGCTCTACCATCTTCACCCGAATAGAACGCCCGGTCATTATAGCTGTATTTGGGGCAACTTTCGGACCAGATGCAGCGATAATGGCCGGGCGTTTTATTCGGGTGAAGACGGTAGTGTGATGAACTGTGCTTCTGGTGTGTCGTGAGATGCTTGTTCGAAGCTTGGGCTCATTGCAAATCAATCAAGGAGGCCGTAGTTGTGAAGAGATTCAGAATCAGTCAAGGAGGTATTGAGCACAGGTCTATAACTCTTGGGTTGAAGGAGATATCTTACACCCCATTGGGGACCAATTAGAGGAAGGCTAAGATGTTTTTTCCTGCCAGGCCAGGCGGTCGTGCACCATGCTGGTGGAGTCTGCCATCTGGGGTGCCCAGGAATGCAAAACAGTCCAGCATTTTTTTTTTTTTTTTTTTTTTTTTTTTTTTGTTGGAGGTTGAAGTCTTCCGTGCTTGCTCAGAGGAACCAAAATCCAGACTCTTTTCTTTTTTCAATGTTGACCGTTAAGGCGGGGGATGGGGGTTTAAATGGGTGTAAAAAAGGGGCTTAAAGGGGTTTAAACCACAAGTACCTTCAAGCCTCCTTTTTTTCCCTTGGCGGATTTCTGCTGGATGCCAATTCCAAAATTAACCGGCCCAGGCCTCTTTATTTTCTTTTTGGCTGGAGCCACCAGCCAGAAATGTTCATGAGGCCAAGGGAGGCTGAGCCCCGAGAGAATGTGGCGGTGGACAAATTTGTCACTGAAATTTGCCTGGGAGCGATGCCATTGTTGGCGGCACCAGGAGCAGGGGCAGGGATCAATCGGACCCAAGTGTCCGAGGCTCCGACGGGTAAATCGGTAAGAGGGACCCCAGTCAGAAGCCATAGCCACCTTCTTATGAAAGGACCGATCGATACATCGTCTGGTGGTCGGCCCTGCAACAGAAGAGCATCAGGTGCAGCTGCCGGTCACTCTCTTGTTTGCTGACGACTTGACAGCTCTCATCTGGGGCTCGAACTCCTCTTCCGAAGCCTTGACCCATGCGATGCAGGCCTTCCACTTGGCTTCGGAAATACCAATCAACTGGCGCAAGACTTTGGGGTGGTGGCTGGCGGATACACCTCTGCCGCCACCGCATATCGCACCGGAGGGCTTCACCTGGCAGGATCAGCGGACCCCGCTGCACTTTCTCGGCAGCAAGATGACAGAACCGCCCGGACCAGACTATGGCCCCAAAGATATTAACCAAAATGCTCACCAAGGTGGATGCATGGTCCAGCATTTACACATTGGTGTTTGGTAGGGCCCTGGTCCTCTCAGTACTGTGGTATGATGCGACGATATGGTCTCGGGATGCGCAGATGGGGAAGACGCTGAGAAGAAAAGGTACAGCGTATCTGTGGACAGGCAACTCCGCTAAACAGAACTTCATTGCCAAGGTCGCCTGGAAGTATGTGATTCGACCAAAGGGGAGTGGGGGCCTGGGGATCTTGGACCCCGCCCTCCAGACCAAGGCACCCCAAACTAAGTGGGTTCTCAAGCTCCTGACCTGGCGCAATTTGCCTTGGACTACGTTGGCGTTGCACAGCATCAGACAGCTTCCTGCAATGCAAATGCCGTCAAACATGCAAGGGTTGTTTTGGTTGATGTCGAAATCATGGGCGGGCCGAAGATCGTCTTGGCGGGATTACTGGGCTCAGCTGCTACGCGCCTGGAGGGAGATCTTCCCCGCAAGGGGGAAGCCTCCCACCACCAGGGAGGAAATCCTCAGGCAGCCCCTGTTCTGCAACCAGTGGCTGGTGGACGACGCACAGAAACCGTGGACCCTGACACAGCAGGATGGGCGCTGGGCCACATGGCTTGAGAGAGGGTTGTGGCAGGTCAAGCATATCTGGGAAGGGAACGAAGGCCGCTGGAAGACCGACCAGGAGCTCCGGGTCCAATTGAAGGGCTGCCACAACTTGCAACAAAACCTCGATGCTCTCCATCAGTCATCCCCGGCTTGGAGATTCATCACCGCCCGGTTGGCGCAATGGGGAATGGGCTACCTGGGTTGCAGAGGAACCCCCCCAGAACGGCCTTGTCCTTCATCAGCCAAACCGGCCCCGGTAACGAATGGGGATTGATGACCCTGCATGTCTTAGAGGAGCCAGGGGCCACGGTCAGTAAGGTGAGCCAAACGGTGGATGCCAAGGCTACAGTCAAGCTCGATAGCTTACCACCAACACCCCCATAGCGGCCCCCAATACTCCCGTACAACCCCCCAACMCCCCCAACCCCCCCCCCACACCCTCATTACCCCCCCCAAGCCCCGAAAGTTTCCCAGCGGATTTGGGCTGTACTCAGCAAGCGCAGTACAGCCCCAGGTTCGAAAAAAAATCAGTGGATGGTTGTTTTTGGCAGCTGTTTCCTATTTGGGGTCTGTGTGTTTTCTGGGTCTTTGGCATGTTTTGCAGGTATTAGAATACATGATGTATGACATCCCCGAGCAGAAGCGGATGTGTGGGGATCGAGTGGCCCTCAGCCCATCTTCGACGCTGACACGGCAGCTGTTTCCTATTTGGGGTCTGTGTATGTTCTTTGTCTTGGCATGTTTGGCAGGTATTAGAATACGTGATGTATGACATCTCTGAGCAGAAGCGGATGTGTGGGGGTCGAGTGGCACTCAGCCCATCTTCGATGCTGACATGGCTTGGCTTCACCGAATCAGGCCTCCTGAGCACATATGATTCCAAGGTGGTTTGTTTTTGCATAAGGAACATCAGTAAGGAATACCGCTTTGCATAAGTGGCCCAGTTTCTCCCTCTTTTCTGAAGTTTTCCCTAAATCGTTTTGAATTTGAAAGGCGTAGGCTGTAACATCACTCTGCCCTGAGAGGAGTGAGTAATCTTGTAAGGAACGCTGGAGCCAGTTTCAGCAAGTACCTGTGTCATACATGCCCATGCCCATTGCTTGGTAACTCACGAGCTTAGAGTACAAACCCTCTTAAACCGCCAGTACGTTTCCGAGCCATTTTTCTCCCGACGCGGCCGTTAATGCGCCACAACTTTTGGGGCACGGTCTCTACTGGAACTAAATGGCAGGCTTTGCCAGCAAAAAAGAAAACATGCCAGTTCTTTTCTTTTGGGCGCACACTGCACAGAGCGTTTCTGGACTGGGCAAGGGAAGAGTCATAAGTAGTGGTGGTTTAAGAATCTTACTATGGATTGATGGTATATTCAGGGTGGTTTGTCACTGTAAGGGGGGCACACCCGTTTGAATGAGCGTGCATAAGTTTTTACAAGTGCAGGTGATTCTGCATCTGGTTGCTAGTCAAATAATGACACCCCCATAATAGGGGTACTGAGGATAGTGTATTCAAAGGGGTAGATAGGTAACACTTGTGCCATGTACTAAGCTCCCAATTAATTAAAAACACACTTGAAGAAATGACTGAAGATTGAAATGGGAGAGTCCGCACCTCTCACCTATGACGGTGCAACGGTACCTGGGCCTGAAGAAGGGTTATGCAATCCAGGACTACGGTGGACAGAAGAAACTAGAGTGGAGGGAAGCAACCGATAGAAGGACACCAAGCCAGTGAATGGACGGAGACACTATTGAACTTGGAGAGAGAGTATAAGGTTAACAACATCCGCAAGCGGACAAAGGTCCTCAAGGGTGCTGATAAGGACGACGTTCAGAAAGGATAGCATGTGCTCTGACTTGGCAGACTTGAGGAGGCAGACATACTCTGGCGGGGAGGAACAGATCAGCTATGGTTTTCTGGCATGTGCTTTTGGGTCGGGGATGATGCTCTCTGGAAAAGGCTTGAACATTTTTTTGGGATATGTCAACAGTTCATCCTTCCATCAGGAAGAGATCAATGCTGTTGATGGTCCCCCCTGGCTGTAACGAGGGGAAGGTTATCATTGCGATCGATGCTGTTCATGGTGCCCCCTGGCTGTAAAGAGGGGAAGTTTATTATATGTAGAAGCAAGTCCGGCAGTGTCACTCTTTCAGTTTCGAAAGGGAAAAAAAAACACGTGCGGGCAACAAAATCGGGTGTCGAGTTTGAAAAGGGAGATATCGGTAAAAATGGCTGTGGCACGCGCGTGACTTTGTTGCCCTTTTCAAACTCGGTGGTCGAGTTTGGTGCCGTTTTCAAACTCGGCGCACGAGTTTGTTGCCCGCGTGTGATTTTGTTGCCCTTTTCGAACTCGTTTGTGCCACAACCAAACTTACCCCTTATATGTGTTTGGCAATTTGTCGACATGCCGATGGAAAAGGAACCGGACTGCTGCTCTGCAGAATAGAATGGAAAAACAAGGAAATTTCTCGACAAAAGAAAGTGGAGGGTTGCTGCCTGTCCCATTTGGACGAATGTCTGGCAGGCCTTGAGGATGTAAGGGTGAACACTGAACACAAGAATTTTTTTTTGGAAAATTTAAAAATATGACAAAGAAAGTTGTGTAGAAGTGCAATACAAATAGCGTTGGCTGAGGGTGCCCTCAGAATTCCTTACCAAATTCCAGATTAAAAAATATAAAGAAACGCACCATGAAGATGAAACTTGAACCACAACCACAGTGTGCTCTGATGAGCCAGCATTGACTCAGCAAGGATCATAACAACACCGAAGGAAGTCTTTTCCCAAAGAAATCAACCCCTTTCTCTCCTCCACCAATCTCAACATTAATACTGAAGCTCACGAACTATGCCGATCATTTCCTCCATCTGCCAACCAATGCCATCTCCTTTGTCATCGTACTAGCCCACACTAGCCTACTCCACTCATTTCCCCTTCATCGTCAAGCCCGCTCAGCACGATGCTGCTCCCACCTATGATCAATGAAAGAATGTGCATTGCTGGTGCTCCCATGCCGATGTCCAACCAGGCAAGTCTTTCTCCCTTCTCCCTACGGCTCTGCTGGTCTCCCAATGATCTATCATTTTGGCACCAATCTCTCTCTCTCTCTCTCTCTCTCTCTCTCTCTC